AGACTTCTAAGTATCACCACATTGAACTGCATTAGCTTTTTGAATATAGATAAGTTGAAGTATTCAAAGATTTATTATGAGATAGAAAGATAAATAGATGCATAAGGATAGGATTCGAAAGATTGTTGACTGAAACATAGTAATGAGCCGTCTTTCATTGAAATTTCGAAATTTGTACCTCGATGTATACCCGAGAACGTAGACTTGACAGTGGATTACTTATCGTATTTTTTGTGATCAAACTGTATTTTGGAAACGATTTTCTGGTACTTTTTGATTTTTACTGAGCATTTACCGGTGGAATTTCTATATTTTGTATTTGTTATTTATCTTCCGTTGAACTTCACTTAAACATGAGCAACCGCAAGAAAACAAACACGAAGAGGGTGGAAGAGCATGAAGAATCCCGAAATGCTAGGCAAGTCGTTAATGATTCTTGTTTAATGGGTTCCCTCTATACTCGTGATGATGCTATGTTTGATACTTATTACTGTAAGTCACCCTTAGAAGGCATTAAGGAACAAAGTTTGAGTGAGAATTCTAAGGTACCAGAGAAGGATCAGATGCTTAGGACACCGATAGTAGGCTTAGAATTACCTAAGGTTGAACTTTCATTTTTTGACGGCAAATCTCGCGACTACTTTAGATTTATTAGGCAAATTGAATCGTTTATAGAACCTACAGTTAGGGATGATAATTTGCGTTTATTATATTTAATTCACTACTGTAAAGGAAAGGCAAGAAATGCGATTGAAAGTTGTCTAATAATGGATCCACAAGTGGGATATAAGAGAGCTAAGGCTATTTTAAAACAGCTCTTTGGACAGTCGCATGTGATAGCCCGTGAAACCTTGGAGGACTTGTTTAGAACCGGGAATGCAGATTATAATGATCCTGAACTATTGACGAATTTGGCGATTAAAATGCAGAGTGTTGCTCTAACCTTAGAACAGTTAAATTGTACAACGGAACTTAATTCCCTGGTTACTTTGGAGCGAATAGTTAGAAATTTGCCCCGGTCTATGCAAGTTCAATGGGCGGAATTAACCGTAAAATGGATTGAAGAAGATAGAGAGCCTACCTTCACTGAACTTACTGAGTTTATATTATCTCGAGCAAGAATAGCGGATAGTAGATTCGGTCGGCTGGCTAATCGGCCAAAAATAGGAAGAGATGTAAAAATGAACTGTCACCTTCAATCGAAACCAGCAACCATACCGAATATATGATATAACTGTAGCATTTTTACTGGTG